CGTGATCAACTGAAAATGGGGTCGACCCATATTACAAGCCTAGTTTCAGTTTATTGTACCGAAAGAAACTCAATTAAATTAATAATCAATAGTTTAATTAATATGAATTCATCTTACCCAAACTCAATAGTTTTCATTACGAAAATCGAAACTTCCAATTTCCGATTTTTTTTTTTAATTGGAATTGGGTTTCGAGACTTGCGGTGCTTTAATCTCGCCTTACTTGCTAACCAAGCATGGCGAATCATGACTTGTCCAAATCTCCTCCTCTCAACTTTCCCGATGGTGGTTTTTTATCGGCGGATATTGGAAATCGGCCGTCGGCCACATGGAGAGGAATATGGTCAGTTAGAGATTCATTTCGGTTGGGTCTTCATAGACGCATCGGCAACGGTCTTACTACATCCATTTGGGCCGATCCATGGCTGTTTGAGGATGGAGGCTTCAGAATTATCACTATATTGATCGACATCTTTGGCGAATAGATAGAAGACGGGTTCTGGATGTCCTAATATTCCTTTGCCGCCGAAAATTCAAATATTCATGTGGCGTGCTTGTTCGAGTATTTTACCAACTGCGGAGGAGCTATGTCGAAGGAAAATCCTCTCTTACCCAACACGTGGTAATTGTGGCGCTCGGCAGGAGTCTATCCTCCATATCATTTTGGAGTGCGATGGGATGAGAGAAGTTTGGAAAAGGTAACCCTTTCTACTGTACTAGTATCGTTCACACTATTACTTCGATTGAAAGGTGGTTTCAAAACCTGTACCAGCAACTCCACGGGCGGACCTAGGGAGTATTGGGTGGGGGGCTAGAAATTTTTTTTGGACAAAAATGGTACTAAATTTAAAGTTTGGAGGGACTAAATGCTATATATTAATAGATAAATAACATAAAATATTAAAAAAATAATAAAAAAAAAAGGTAAAATTTTTTTTTCTGCAGGAGCGGAGGCCCCCCCAAGGCATACCTTGGGTCCGCCCCTGAGCAACTCGATGAGGAAAATTTTAGTTTGGCGGTGATTGTGATTTGGAAAAGTTGGGATAACAGGAATAAGAGGCGGCATGGTGAGAGTGGCATTAAGGCTAATGAGCTTGTGGGTTGGTGCAAAGTTTTTTTGGAAAATTTCAAACAAGCTCATTTTCGTCCAATCCCCTTAAGAAACCCCACCCTTCCATCGTTGTGGAAGCCACCGGAAGACGGTTTTATTAAATTAAATGTTGATGCTGCATTTCCGCCGGGGGAAGATTTCTACTCAACATCGTTGGTCGCTCGAAATAGTAGAGGAGAATGCTTGTGATGGAGTACAACGAAGATGACGAGACGCACGATGGAGAAGCACATGCTGTCCTTAGTGCAATCAAGTTAGCAAAAGAGAAGAGTTGGCCAAAGATAGTTATCAAAGGAGACAATCTCCAGGTCTTCAAAGCTCTAAGAGACAAAGATTTTGCGACATCATCATTCGGAGGCTACGTGGAAGACTGCCTAATTTTAGCATCGGATTTTCAACATTATTTTTTTGCTTTTTGTTAAAAGATCGGGTAATACTCCTGCGCATGCGATTCTGAAACTTGTTGGTTATGCTTGTAAAGAAGGTTTAATCCTTACTACGAATTTGGCGAACTTCGCCTAATAATAGAGTTTCTCTCTCTTTCAAAAAAAAAAAATTTGATTCGTTTTAAATTTCCGGAAATTAATTCCAAAAATTCCACCACCCCGCCCCCCCCCCCCCCAAAAAAAATTACATTTATAATATCGTAATTAATGTCAGTAATAAATTGGAATCTCCGAATTCCGTTCGATTCCAATTCGATAATTCTCAATTTTGGAATAAGTTTTTTCATTTCAATATTCGAATTTTTGATTTCTAACTTTTCCAAAACTTGAATTTATTTTCTAACAAAACTTGAATTAATTTTTCATTTCCTAGGAAAAAATGAATTATTTTCTAAAGAATGTTATTACTTTAGTACGGACATGTTGAGACGGCGTATCCAAAAAAATTGGGAATACGGGAGCTTGGGGAAATGTGTAAAATATTAAAATTATGGGAAAACATTTATTTATAATTCTTTTTAAAAAAAAAATCAAAAATATTTAAAATAAATTTTAGGATATATTACAACCACCCGAGGTATGTTCAAATTATGAAAAAAACCTTATTTTTTGGATAATTACATCTACTTTCCTCAACTATGAATTTTCTTACACCTCCATCCTTATAGTGTCAAATTTAACATAATCATCTAGATTCTGTGGAATGTTCTTTAGTTTGTAGTCATTTTGTGCAAAAATACAATTTCTGATGCACCACAATCTGATATATACAAGCCAAAAAATACATCTTATGATCATCTTGCTTTAAAATGTGGAGCTCGAATGGGATAAAACATGTACAAAATTGAGAAGATTCCACTAAATTTGAAACTATTAGGGTGGACGTTTAAGAAAATTTATAATTGAGGATAATTGTAATTACCAAAACAAGAGAGAGTTCTTAATTTGACCGTACCTTAGAGGTGGTTGTAATTTTCCCTAAATTTTACTATCAACCATTAATTTACAGTAAAATTAATTATTAAATCGTGTAAATAATTATGGAAGCAACAAATATTATTGAAAATTTTATATTCAATCATGTTTCTAACTTTTTTAAATTCCGCAAAATAGCCCTGTTTTCGAGTGTTTGAAACGAAGAGTGTTATCTTCTTCTGATTTGGCTTCTTCACTTTCTCTCTCCTCCTTGCAATGATGACGACGTCATCAATGGCGGCCTCAACTTCCTCCTCCATCCCAATTGCTTCGCTTCAAACTCGAACAATTCGAGAATTAAACCGCCCGAGTTTTTCGTCTCCTTACTCCACCGCAATCAGAAACCGAAACCCCATCAATTGTACTCCGCAATCCCTTTCTCCAATAGAGGCGTCTTCATCTTCTTCTTCTTCTTCTTCTTCTTCTTCTGCATCTGCTGCTGCCGTGGAAACTCAGCCAATGGTTCCGCCGTACAATGTGTTGATAACTGGTTCTACCAAAGGTCATTTTCGTCTTTTTTTTTTTTTGTGCTTTATTTTCTGCCTCAGAAAAGAAACTATGCTTTTCTGCATTAATGCTGAACTGAACTCGTTTGCTTTATTTTAGTTCTAATCAATATATTGCCATCCTAAATCAAATTTTTGATCTTAATTTTTCTTTATTTGGAAGAAGGGGTGGGGTTAAGATTCAATGCCTAGACTTTGACCGTAATAATCGAATCTTGTTACCCATTCTCCGAATGAGGACCGGTGAACAAGATTTCACAGGAGACCGTCTCTGAGTTTCGATAATTCCGAGTATTTATCTTAGAATAGTTATTTACATGGGAGCTTATGCCGATTACAGTTTCGAGGATTTGAGTCTATTTTATTTTTCCTGTGTAGCAAAACTACAACTCTTTTTCAAATTTTGGAGAACGTCTTGTCATTTTACAGGAATAGGGTATGCGCTTGCGAAAGAATTTCTCAAAGCTGGAGACACCGTCGTCATATGCTCTAGATCAGGTACATAGCTCTTATATATATATATATATATATATATATATATATATATATATATATATATATATAGATATATATACTGTCGTAAGTTTCAGGCAGTTTTGATATATATGCTCTGATTTAGTTTATCGTATTTCATAATCGGAGAGAAATACTTTTCAATAATTGCTAGTAATGCTGCATTATCATAATTCCACAGCAGACAATTTATTCTGGCCTTTTCTTAGTTGCATGTTCTGAATGGAAACATTTACGAATGGTTTTTTTTACATAAAAACTGAGAATATTGGTCTTTGTTTTAGCCGCACCCTTATATTACTGCTCGTCTTCTTTTCCAAGAAAAAAAAAAAAGAAGAGAGCACAAATAAATATCTCAAAAGTTGCTTTAGCAGAAGCTGCTTTTTTCGTTTCTCATTTTTCATTCTGTACTACAAATGCAGCATTTATATATCTCAAAAGTTTGCTTATGAATTTTACAGAGGAACGAGTGAAATCAGCTCTCGAAAGCTTACGGGTTGAATCGGGGAAGCAGCATGTGTGGGTACCTCCTTCGTAACTTCCGGTGCTTTTTTCTTTTTCTTTTTTTCCCGTTTACGGGCTCGTCTTTGATACTGACAAAACAAACATACACTCAAATAGACGTAACTAGAAATGGTGAATCTTGATATATGCCATAGTTATGCTTATACGAGTAGTTCTTCTTTATGCAGGGTGCCAGGTGTGATGTTCGGAAGGGGGATGATGTAAAGAACTTAGTTTCTTTTGCACAAGAACAGTTAAATTACATTGACATATGGGTTGGTACTCAATCTTCAACCACTTTCTTCTTTAGCATCGAACTATAACTTATTTGCTAAATGTCAATGCTAATAAACCAATTTAACTAGTTGTTTTGTGTCTTGAATGTTTATATATTAGGCGTTTCGTAATTTTCTGAGAGATAGTGGTAGGTTTGTTTTTCGTATTTATATTCTCTCTTACCCCACTTCAGAATGATGCAGATAAATAATGCAGGATCAAATGCATATAGTTTCAAACCATTGATGGAGGCATCCGATGAAGATTTAATGTGACTTCCTATTTTTAATTCATTATTATCCTATATATAT